AAGTGAAGTGAAGTGAAGTGAAGTGAAGTGAAGTGAAGTGAAGTGAAGTGAAGTGAAGTGAAGTGAAGTGAAGTGAAGTGGAGGTGAAGTGGACAGATGCCTCCTGGAACCCTAGCTGGCAGGATCGATGCAGGAACCCAGACCAGTGATCTCTATTCTTCTATTCCCTCCATCTCTCTCCTTTCCTTTTTCCTCTTTTCCCTCACTACTATTAAGAAATGCAAGGCATACTTTATTGCCTGCCAGAACTTATTGCATACTTAGCCAGTTATTGTGTATCCAATTAGAACACTGTGGGAAGTTAATAAATGTTTGGACTTTGAGACTTGTCTGACTATGAGTCTGAGTCACTTGTCTCCCTCGTCTGAGCGGGACATGACAATACTACATTCAGGTGGGCTGAAAAAACTGTAGAGAACATGACCTGTGAGGGAAGATTTAGGAAAACCAGATCAGTTTTGTCTGAGAAAGAGCTTGGAGAATATACCATAATAGTTTATAGTACATCAAAATTTGCTCTTTTTTATATATGGGTGTATATATGAATATATATATGAAGGCATATATATGAAAGGTGAGACAAAAAAGCTTGAATTGCAACATAGGAGTCTGGGGCTTGGATATTGGAACAAACATTATTAATTTTAAGAATAGATTAAACACCATAATGACTGCCTGCTTCCTCTGGGCATGTAATGCTTCTGCTCAGAGAAAAAGTTTTCCTTCATTTATTTTGGATAAGTGATGATAGCAATATTTCAAAGATGTCCTGTTGCCTTCAAGCAATATTTGCTTCTTGGGTCAACCAAAAGCCTGCCAGAACTTGAGAATTATGCACCTAACACAGGACTTACAGAGACAACTAATCTTTAAGACCAAAATTTATGAGAAAAGTTCCTTGTTCAGCAGCTACTTACCCTTGAGCTCATTTGGAGCTCTCTGTTTGGTCTGAAAATTACACATATATACAGACAGGCCTGCTCTTATGACTGCTCAGAACTGCCCAGCCAGAGCTGCAAGGCATATAAGTCCCTTTTAAGCCCCTGTGGGACACAGAACAATGCCTAAATATCCAGAAGGTGAAGACTTCACCACACGCCAAAGTACGACGAAGAAATTTAATGAAAAAAAAAAAAAAAAGGCAACCAGACATCCTATACTTTGTACCATATTCCAGTGCTTGTAATACTTACCCAATATGTCCTTGAGGAAGCTCCTGTTACCTTCTGTCAGAAGCTTCTCTAGAGACTGACCCAAGCCAGGTTTGGTTGCTCATGAAAAGTGAATATCCATTCACTTCTACAGATGTTATTTCCAGAATAAAGTTGGGGCCTGTCTTATTTTGCAGAAAGTCTGTATTGTCCTAGGAGGCAGAGGTTTACAGTAAGGCTACAGTATCTTTCACTGTGATCTTTTCATTTAGGTGATAGTGTAAAGGGTGACATGGAGAATCACTCTCAAGTTCCCAGCAGACTGAATTTTCCTTGTATGCCATCACACAGCACAACCAGTCCCCAGTCTTGTGTAGGGCATCCTAAGTGTTTTGTTAGACCTTACAAGCATTTCTCAAACTGATGACATTCTCAATGACCAAAAGCAAGGTCTAGTGAGTGGAACTAACAGCATGTCAATACAGCAATTTAGCATATTCACTGAACTACTCTGCATGCACAATATCTCTGGTTTTCTGTTGCAGAGGGACAGCTATCAAATGAGGGAGAATCCAGAAATTATTCAGCCAAACAGAAGAGCACATGACCTATTGCATCATCAGCAGCTGTTTGCAGTATACACTATAGTCAAAGGTAAATATTCTCAGAAATAATTATTTAATATTTATGAGACTTACTTTAAAAGGTTAGGAGTTAAATTATTAGAAAACTAAAATTGAATGCATTGATTATCTAACTCCTGAAATAATAGAGATAACTTACCATTCAAGCAACCTTGTTCTCTTTATAAACCTCTGCATCCATGTGGCTCAATCTCCATTGCTCATTCATTTCAAATAACAGCCACTTGAACCTTTCTTTCCAGTTTTGGGGGTTTGGGATAGGGACTTGTTGGTGCTTTTCTGTTATGTTTTCCTTAAAATATAGCTGGGAAGCAGCATTTGCAATTCATATTTTGACGTCTTTGTTTCTTCTATTTATAAACACTTACCACATTTTTCCAAATGCTTTCATTATTCAGAATTTTTTGATTAATTATTTCTTCAGATAACTCTTTCTTGTAGTTTTGCACTAGGATCCTGATGTTACTGTAAAATTTGGAGTTGCTGCATCTAGAGACATGAAATATGTATCTATTTGTCTGCATACCATATATACTGTTATATAAGGTTTCATTTTTGTAGAAACCTTACAAAACTTGCAGATGAACAATGGAAAAATTACATCCGATCACAACATTCTGGATAACTTTTTTTCTGATGACAGGTATTTGCCAGTCACTTGAATGGTTTGCAAGAGCTTTCTGATTTCTGCATCATTTCCATAAAGATATCTGAGTTTTTTACTACACTGTCTAGTCATTTCAAGAGAAGGCAGAAAGAAATGAAAATTAGGACAGAAAATATGACCTTTTAAACCACAATTTTAGTGCTTTTGCAAAATTTTATTATCCAAAAGTGTGTGAAAGGACAAATACATATGTGAAAGCTATCACAAACAGGAGTTATATGCCTGCAAGCAACTGTATTAAAGATGTCATGATGTTCTCCACTACTCTGTTCCCTTTCTGGAAAGGAACCAAGACCTATTCTCCTTGCTTGTTGTTCTCATTGCTTCTCCCTCGTTTCAACTTGTCATCTCCTTCTTACATGCTCTTTCTCTGACATGAGGCTCCACTGTCTGCAGCAGCAGTGGAAGATGGCAGTGTTGGCCATGAGAGCTCACCTACAGGCTGACCTTTGTCAGCAAGAGATTGTGCTCCAGCTTTGAGGCAATGCACATCAATCTTCCAAAGGTTAAATAAACTGAAGCCACCTGTGATACAACTAAATGATTCTTCTCCTAGTATTGGTTCATTTTCCTTTATATCCTCCTTTAAAACACAAAGCAAAAGATTAGCTTAGTAGTTTCAATTCAGTAAAGTTAGAAGACTCTGAAAGACTTTCTTTTGCCCAGCTTACTTTAGAGAATATATGTATTACATCAACAGTGGAAAAAAGAAAACAAGCCATCCAACTTACTGCTATTGAAATGCTCAAGTATGTCCCTGCTAGTTATATATACCAGTTTATCCACTCAATACTACCTCAGGGCAGCATAAATTGTATCCATAGATGCAGAAGCTCCACTAGTATTTTCCCCACTCCACGAAGTTTCTACTGTATGTCTTACATTGTCTCTATATAATAAGAGTATTGTTAACACTAGTGACTTCACTAGCTTGTGACAGGTTATTCCCTTGAAGAGCTTCTATTCAGACTAGCACGCAGAATCTTTACCATTTGTCAATGACATAAAACACAGGGAATAGCAGATGCCATAGCCTAGATACCAGAACAATGCTTGTCTCTCTATTTTGTTGTATTTGTGGTGAATCAGTGAAAACATAATGAGGAAGAATGAGAAGCATTTTTTCACTTATTTAAAAGATAATTGAGGTAATTCTATGAAGGTAAAGGAAAGAACTTATTTAACAAAATATATCTCACTGTAAAAAAATAATCTAAAAGCAATATTTTTAGTGATACAAGCAATAAAATCTTGAAAAATAACGTAGCTTGAATATGCATTTACATTCCCATTGCTGACATTCTTTCTTTTTATTACTGTCTTATTCAAAAGTCCAGAAGTACTCTCATATTCAAGAAAATGTGCTCTTACACAGCCAGGCTCAGACTTGAGCCTGAGATGTCTTTATTGAAGTTAATTTTACATTCTTTGTAAGCTCAGTTCTTTTTTTGTGCTCTAAAACTTGCAATGAAACTGGTAGAACTGAAGCACTTATGATTTAATCAACCAGTTAACAAACAAGTACTCAGAACATGTTTAACATGCAATGAATGTTCATGAACCACTGAAAAACAAACAGTATCAGGTTTGTGGTTTCAGCTTAACATGGAATCTTGTCCATGAAATTAGTTAATAATGAACTATCTTTTTCACTTATCTGACAGTGCTCGGTTTTGTTTTTTTTTTACAACACAACTTGCAGCTAAAATGGCATGCAGTCAGACAAGGTATTCCTAAACTTATAGAGTGCTGTCCTGTATTGAACACTGCAATGTAACCATCATCACCTATCCACTTTAAACATAAAAAGTCTGGAAAAGGAAAACAAACTTGAGTTTTGAAGCAGTTCAGGTTGTTAATAACCTCCACTTTATTGTATGTCACACAATGTTTCTATTAATTGAACATGGACCCCTTTCACATATTTAACATTCTAGGGTGTCTACCTCACATAGTAATCTGTATCACTAGACACTATTTAAGAAAAACAAACCCCAAAACAAACAAACAAACACAAATAATGTTTTGGCTTAATGATTGTTACCTTCAACTGGTTGGAATGTAATTTTTATGGCCCATGGCATCTTCTCTCTTTTATCTGTTTCAGAATGCCTGACACTGCTTCTGTCCAACATTATAAAATGCGCTGATATTACATAGATCTACGGTCCTTTAAGACCTCCAGTCATAGTATTTGTAAAGTTCATGCTTAACCATACATACCTACTGATACTGTCTTATAAAATTAGGCCCTTAAAAATTAACTCCCTTCTGGATTTTTTATTTTCATTAAGAACTTAAGTTTATGTTTGAGCTGCTGACTGTGGATGCCACACCAAAATCAGGAATGCAAGTCCAGGTTGGTCATTCAATGAAAACTTTCAGTGGGGCAAATTTTGATATTTTTAATCACATTGAGTAGAATATTAGTCCTCAGATACTGCCAGGAATAAGAAATCAGTGAGATTGGGCATGAATAACACAGTACAGATTTCAGAGGTTAGGAATAACCATAGCTATGCTTGGCTGTTGGTGCAATCCCAGTAGCCCATATGCTTGAAAAATGCTGAATAATGGGATTCTTTCTCAGTTTGAAATATAAAATGCATTTGGCAGGTATTAAATATACTCTGTATTTTGATGACCATAGGAATACTAACATTCCCAAGTTTTTCATAGCAAATATGTTTATAAATTTTATTTATTAGCACAAGTCTTGAGAATGAATTTAATACAAAATGTCACTTAAAAGAGTGAAATTATATCTCCAACTGTGGCTACTTCAGTGGTGCAAGAGGCATTTGTAGTATTTTAGACTGATTTCCAATATCTTGCAAAATAGGGCTTCTAAGTACAAATATGAAGGTGGCAGATGTTGAATGTTATGGAAGGTAAGTTTTATTAGACAAAATAGTAGAAATTATTTCTGACACAGTGAAAATCAAGGAGTCAATAAAAGTTTAATTTTATGGGCAATCAAGGATTTTGGTCTAGAGAACTACTTAAAATATCTGAAATCTAATTCCGTGTCTCTTTCAAGAACTGAGAATGTAATAACTCTCCAACAGCACCCATGTTGAAACACCACAAGTCTGAAGTAGGATACCAGGACCTATTAAATGAAAGGTGCAATTTGGAGAGGTGAAACAGTTCAATGATGAAAAACAAATCATTTCCTTGTGATTCTGTACATGTACAAGGGATGTAATTTACTCCCTGCACTGTATCTAAGGACCAGCCACCAGGCTGTAATGAACATTGTTACATTTTCAAACAAAACAAGTAGAAAACTAGGAAAGAAGTGTTTGAAATAAAAGATTGCCACTCTTAGCCAGTCGATTCAAATTTTCTGAACCTAAAGACATAGAAGTGTGTGGGAATATTTCTATTCATTTCAATGGAATTTTGTTCTGTCCTGCCTGAAGCAAACACTGGAAAAAAAAAAAAAAAATTAAAAATAAGTTAAAAAAATCCAAAAATGACTGCTCACATAGTTTAGCAGGACAGAAATGTGCTTTACAGGTAGTATGTAACGAGCAAACAGAACATATGGCCACCACTGCCAGTCTAGAATTCAATTATATCAAAACCACGTCACAGGTTCTTCTGCTTTTCTGAGAAGCTAAATGTCATTAATCATGCTTTGAAGGGGAAAGTCCCTGTTCTGCTGATACGACCAGGTTATAAATGCCCATGTTATGAAGCACGGTGACAACCACTAAGCCACTCTACACATTCAGCTATTTATTGTTATCTTTCTTCCCTTTTTTTGCAGACTTTCTGATCTTGCAAAACTCTTTAATCTTTTTGTTAATAATTGAATTATAGTTTGAAATTCTTCTTAGGATCTGTTGGAACAAAGCACATTGATGGTTAAATTTAGACGAGATTCAGCCAGATATTTTAACATGTCTTTCCTTCTAAGCCGACAAAGATTCATACTAAAAGAACTTTTCAAACTGAGCATTTTGCAAATGAATCTGCTAAGATTAACAGTCACCAGTATAGTCATATTTTGAATCATGATCCTCACACACTAACATTACATCCAAGAAAAGCCATAATGGATTTATGCTACAGTTAAGTACTGAAGTTACATAGCAGTCTGTGACTTTCAGCATTTCTTTCAAGCCTACACATACATATATATATATACAACATATATATGTGGTCTTAAAGAAATAAGACTATATGACTTACAGTGTCCCTCAGATATTGTTGAATAGTCAGGAGACCTATGAATCTGTTGCAAGAGCCTTTAATATTAAAATTTTCTCAGAAAAGAGGAATATTGAACACGTTAAAAGTAATATGAGACAACAGCACTTGGTCCTGTGCTAGCC